ATGAAAATTGATGTTCCTGAGCTCAATGGGGACAATTATAAATTTTGGAAGGAGAAAATACTTCTTCATTTGGGGTGTATGGACATTGACTATGCCATTAGGAAGAACGAACCGACTGCTATAACTGATAAAAGCACTCCAGCAGAAGTGGTTCTTTATGAAAGGTGGGAACGATCTAATCGTCTCTGCGTTATGTTCGTAAAGACCAAAATTTCTGCTGGGATCCGGGGTTCGGTCTAGCAATATGACAATGTCCGTGCCTTATTGAAGGCAAATGATGATTAGTTTGTGTCTTCTGATAAGGCATTAGCCAGTACCCTTATAATGAAGTTCTCTTCTCTAAAGCTTACCGGAATTAGAGGTGTGCGTGAGCACATCATGCGCATGAGGGATATAGCGGCTCAACTAAAGACACTTGAAGTTGAGATGTCGGACTCTTTCCTAGTTCACTTCATTTTGTGCACTCTTCCTTCCCAATATGGTCCTTTTAAGATATCCTACAATACACATAAGGATAAGTGGTCTATAAATGAATTAATGACCATGTGTGTCCAGGAATAAGGACGTTTGGCTATGGAAGAGGGTGAGCAAGTGAATATGACTACTAAATCTGGAAAGAAAAGACATTTCAAGCCAAGGATAAAGGGAAGGATAAAATTCCTCCTCAAAGGGAAATAAAGAAGGAAATCAAGTGTTTTTTCTGTAAAAAGAAAAATCATATGTAGAAAGATTGTCCTAAGTTCCAAAAGTGGCTTGAGAAGAAAGGTAATCAACTTTCTTTTGTTTGTTATGAATCCAATATGGTTGATGTTAATCATAACACATGGTGGATAGATTCTGGTTCTACAATCCATGTTTCCAATTCCTTGCAGGGATTGCTAAACCTGCAGAAACCAGTGGGAAGTGAGCATAACATCTATTTGGGAAACAAGATGCCCTCACATGTGGAAGCAGTAGGAACGTGCAAACTAATTTTAAGTAGTGGTTTTGTTTTGTATTTGGAAAAGACTTTTTATATTCCTAGTTTTGCTAGGAACTTGATTTCAGTATCTAGACTAGTTAAGTGTGGTTTTTCTTTTAACTTTTCAAACTCAGATTTTATTTTATCTTTTCAATCAAATGTTGTTGGTACTGAAATAATATCTGATGGTCTTTTTCGACTTAATTTGCAAAATAAGGGTAATTATAAAGTTATGCACGTTCATAATAATGCTGGTATTAAAAGATGTGTTGTGAATGAGGATTCCTCTATCTTGTGGCATCGGAGATTAGA